CCTAAAATATATACTATCTACAGAAAAAAAAAAGTTTGCCAATTCCTTCCTAACCCATTGATTAATCTTCTTCTCTAATCTTTTATATTTAAAAATTATACGTATAATTTAAAAATTATTTTATACTAACTGCAAAATCTGGCTCTTTGTTGTATCTGAAATTCTTGACTCTTTTAGTCTTCCAAATTTGGTCCCATTTTTCTGTTTCTTCACTTATAATTTTTTATTACATTTTGAAATAATGTATAAAATTCTTTCTAAAAGAAAATTAGAGATTAAATAATATTTTCCCCTAAGAAAGTACAGGCCCCTCCCTTCCTCGGTTAAACTGTTAGGGTGAAGGGCTAATTTATTTTTCTTCATGTTTGATTAATTGGTATCTGGATTGGATTACAGCTTTAATAAGTTTCACTTCAACACTGGTTTCAAATGTTTTAAGGGGAGGATCACACTCTTCCCTCCAGTATGGCATGGTATCTAAGTATCCATGAGGCTTTGGAGATCTTTGTGTTTTACAACCCAACTACCAAATTTCTTTGCCAACAGTGGTCACTACCTGCTCTCTAGCCCCTATCCTGGCTTTCTGTGCCAGCAGATATACCTCTCTGCCTTCTTGCCCTACCCTGACCTTCCAAAGCGCTATACACTTGGATAAATCCCTATTCAGAAGAATTGTACGGTGGCAAGAACTTTTTTTTTCTATCTGAGGCTCTTCCGGTTTTCCATCTGTCCTGCCAGCCCAGGAGTGCTATTAAAATGTCAGTTGGTTTATATTTATGCTAGGAATCTATACTCCTTTGGGGGGGAGGTTCACACTTTGTAGTTTTTTCAAAGGTATGTCCACAAATTCTTTGTTACTTAATTTTCTCCTTTGAGAGTGTCTTGGAATTAGTGACTTGATTCTAGTAACTAAGTTGTGGCAGAATTGATGGTATGTCACTCCTAGATTAGGTTACAAAAAGGGTGTAGCTTCTTTCTTGGGTATCTCTCTCATTTTCTCTCTCTTGAATCACTTATTCTGGTGGAATCCAGCTGCTATGTTGTAAGACAGTTCAGGGTAGAGATAAGTCATCTGCCATGTTGTAAAGACTTTTAGGCAGATTATGGAGAGACGTACATGAGTGAACATGGAAACAGATCCTCCCCTATTCAACGCTGGATGACAGTTTGACTGCAATCTCCTGAGATACCCTGAGCCAGAACCACCCCAGTAAGCTACTCCTGGACTGATGACCCACAGAAATTGTGAGATTGGAAATGTTAATTGTTCTAAGCCACTAAGTTTGGAGTAATTTATTACACAACAATAGATAACTAATATATTTCTCCATCATTTGTGCCTTCAAAAGTTAAATTGCTTGGGAGTCTTGCCTCAGCTTTGAAGGGTTTGGCTCTCTTTGGAAATTAGTTCATATAGATTCATTTGCATTATCAACTCACTGATTTGTTTAAAATGAGGTTTTTGTAGCTTATCTGGTATCATTTTAATTGTTAAGGTGAAATAGGACAAGGGAGATGGAATAAGAAATGATGTGAGAATTCTCTAGCAATCTTCTACATCCTAACTGGAAGCAGAACTCTTTGACATTTGAATGACTTGAGTTTTTCTGAACAAACTATTAACAGGTGATTACTCTGGAAGAGGAAAAGGCCAGAATCCAGGGTGGTTTTCTGGGTTTCTTTGTTTAGATTTGCCATTTATACACTCTTTCACTCTTCATATTCTTCCCTGTTGCTTCAAAATACTATCACAGCACTGCTAGTTGTGAAGATTCTTCCGATATTGGGCAATCTGGCTACATACATTTACAGATTTTATCTTTTAGTTTAACTTAATATCTAGTTTGTGGTAGTTTTCTGATTCTTGTTATTTTTTTTTTACAGTTTACAAGAGGAAAAGTGGAAGGATTTAGAACTAATTTTCCACTATGTTTCTACCAGATTCTTAAACCCCACCCCAATCAAGTTTTGTAATCACTATTCTATTTAAAATGTTTTCTATCAAGCTCATTGGTGACCTTAATAGTACTAAATCCAATGGTTAATTCTTGTCCCTTATGTTTCTGACCTATCATTCACCTTTAATACAGTTGATCACTTTATTTTCCTTGAATGCTGTCTTCACTTGGATTCCAAGACACTACACACTCTTAGGAGTTTTTTCCCTCTTATCTCACTGGTTACTCTCTTTCAGTCTCCTTTGTTGGTTCTTCCTCATCTCCCTAAAATCTTATTCTTGGATTGCTCCATAAATCAGCCCTTGAAATCCTTCTTTTCTCTAAAATAAATCCTTTGGTATCATTCAGAGATACCTACATGTCAATTAATTGACCAATTATATATTTCTCTATTTAATTTCTTAAATGTGTTTTTATAGCCAAGACTGCTCTCCTGAACTTTAGAGTTGCATGTGCACTGCCTATCTGATACTTCTTCTTGACTGTTTAATTGATATCTCAAAATTAACATGTCCAAATTTGAATTCCTAGTTTCCTCCCCCCATACTCTGACCATAAACTTGTTTTTTACAGTCTTTCCCATCACAGTAAATGACAAATATTCTTTATATTGTTGACTGGGACCAAATTCTTAATATTACCCTGAGTTCTCTATTTTATTATACCCTACATCCAAATCTCAGAAAATCCTGTTTCTTCTAAATTTAAAACATATGACCAATCTGACAACTTCTCACCACCTCCACAGCTACCTGTCTGATACAAGCCTTCATCATTTCTCACCTAGATCATTGAGGTAGCTGTCTAAATAGTCTACTTGGGGCTACCCTTGTCCCCTTACAGTCTATTCTCAATAAGAATCCTGGGTGATACTATTAAGTCATATATCAAATTATGTCACACAGTCCTGTGAAAACCTTTCAATTGTTCATAACTCAGAGTATGAGCCAAAGACCTTAATCCCTACTAATTTACTAACTTTATCTCCTGTAATTCTCCCCTTACTTACTTACATTAGTCTTTGAATTTGCTACTCCCTTGGCCTATAGTGCCATTTTTTCAGGTATCTGCATGGCTCCCATATTTATATTGTCTTCTCACTTAAGCTTTTCCTGACCACCCTATTTAATACTACCAACCTCACCCAGCACTCTCCATCTTTCTTCCTTACTTTATTTTTATTCATAGCATTTACCACTTAATACTGTACTATGTAATTTATTGATATTTATTATGTTTAATGTCTCTCTTCATTAGATTATAAGCTATCTTAAGACAAGAATCATATATTTTGTTTTGGTAACTATGGTATCCTTAGAGCATAGGACAGAGCTAGGCACTAATAAGGGCTCAAGAAATATTTGTTCAGTGTACATACAGTTGACCCTTGAATAACGTGGGTTTGAAGTGTGCAGGTCCACCTATACACTGATTTTTTTCAATAAATACATACTACAGTACTACACTATCTGAGGTTGGTTGAATCCAAGGATACGGAACTTCGGATACTGAGGGCCAGCTGTAAAAGTTACACACGAGCTGTCAATAGCGCAGGGGCTGGCATCCTTAACTCCCGCATTGTTCAAGTGTCAACTGTAGTTTATTACTTACTTTTCTCATTTAGCAGGATATTGTGAATGCCTCTCCATTTCAATAAGGCTATTTCTACATTATAATTTTATGAATATATGCTATTACATTGTTTGGATAGACCACAGTTTATTTAACCAATTCAGTTGGATTTAATCTTTATCTCCCTAAATAAGTATTCATCAGATTAAATGTGTATCAAATAAATCTGAAATACTGAAAGCCAAATGAATGCTGAAACAAAGAAACTAAAATTCTAATAACACTAGCCATCTTTTCTTGGAAAAAATAATTACTTTCACATTTTCCTAAACCCCTGAAGTTAGTGTTACATCAGATTACTTATGTAAAGAAATAAAAGTGTAGATTTTACTCTATTTTAATTCAGCCCTATCTAATTTCCCACAAAATTTGTCAGGTTAGAAGTTATTTCCAGCCACATATGTCTAAGTGCAAGGATGTTGGCTATGGAAGAGATATGTAAGAGGCAAGTTGATGTCCTAAATTTATTTGAAGGGAGGTTCTAATTTTATTTTACTTGATGCATGTAATTTGCTCCATAATTCATTCCATACCCCTTTTCCTTCATTAATGCCTTTCACTGACATCAGTGAAATATGTATCACATACTGTGTGTATGTTTGTTTGTGTGTGAGAGAGAGGGAGAAGAAAGGATATGGGATGAGTTCAGATATGATAGTGGAGTTTATATTAGAAGGAAAGGAGAGCAGTTTAAATTGGGAGTGAACAACTTTAGTCTCTTTCTTTACTCAGCTTCTCTATTAAACCTAAAAGAAAATGGTATAAAAATTGTAGATACAAGACAGGTGTCCATAAAGGAGTTAACACAACTGGTCTGAGGCTGTCATCTTTACAAAGTCCTGCTTGCAAGGTTGGCCCTTGGTTTGTGTCTAGGAACTTGAATTTGGGGAGGGTTCCCCATATTCTCAGAACTGATCGGACTGGCTCACTTGTGCCTAAACTGTCTGTACAAGTAATATGGTTTACGCTGACCACCTGCCTTCCTTCTGAGAGTCTGAAATTTTGGTACATGATAGGCATATGTATATGATTAGCTCTCAGTAAAAATCCTAGACACTTAATCACTAATAAACTTCCCTGGTAGACATTTCACACATGTTGTCATAATTTGTTGGTGGATGAATTAGATGAGTCTTGTGTGACTCCAATGGGAGAGGACTCTTAGAACCTTGTACCTAGTTTTCACTAGACTTCAATCTATATGTCTTTTCCTTTTATTAATTTTATTTTGTATCCTTTCACTGTAATAAATCGTAGTTTTCTGTGCTGAATCTAGTGAATCCTGCTAAAGAATTATTGGACCTGGATATTGTCTTGGAGATCCCTGATACAAAAGTTCTGGCTTAAATTTTTCCAAATATTGAATAAAATATATGAAATCCTTAGGCAATTTCTATTGAATACACTCACCTCTGTTATCAATTTGTTGCACAGAGTGTTGTTCTTCAGTTTCTTTTTCTTGGCCATGTGGAGGTGACAGGAAAATAGGCCTCCAAAAACCTATAAACATATTAAATAGACTCAATTATTTTCCAATTCCTAACAAAAATATGATTGTAGAAAGTAAAAAGTTATATGATTCTGAAGTGAAAAAATATTTCAGATAATACTATTTTTCTTCAATTATATCTATTAGTAATGGTGATCCTCATTCCAATTTTCATGGAGTTTATTAAGGCAATATTGAAAGTTAAGTTAAAAATATTCTAGTATATACTGGTATATATTTCCTCATATAAATATTCATCAGATCCTCAGTTAACTCTCTCTAAAAAAATTGTAGCCAGTTTTTGCCCTAATCAATGAAATATTGGGTATAAAATTGGCTAACAAGCACCCATTAGGATGAATACTATCAAAAACACAAAAAGTAACAAGTGTTGGTGAGGATGTGGAGAAATTAAGACCCTTATGCACTGTTGGTGGGCATGTAAAATGGAACAGCCATTATAGAAAACAGTATGGCAGTTCCTCAAAAAGTTAAAAATAGAATTACTTTATGATCCAACAATTCTACTTCTGAGTATATACCCAAAATAATTGAAAGTAGAATCTCGAAGATATATTTGTACACTCTTGTTTGGCATTATTCACATTAGCCAAAAGGTGGAAATTACCCAAATGTCCATCAATAGATAATGGACAAGCAAATTATGATATATCCATACAATGGGATATTATTTAGCCTTAAAAAGCAAGAAAATTGTGACACATGCAACAATATGGATCAACCTCAAGGACATTATGCTAATTGAAAGAAGCCAGGCACAAAAAACAACAACTCTATAAGAGATAAATACTTATATGAGACACTTAGACTAGTCAAAATCACAGAGACAGAAAGTATGATTGTAGGTAACAGGGACTGGTGGGGTGGGGAAGGCGGGAGGTTATTGTTTAATGAGGACAGAGTTTTTGTTTTGTAAGATGAAAAGAGTTATGGAGATTGGTTTCAGAAAATGTGAATGTACTTAACACTACCAAACTGTACACTTAAAAATTAAGATAATAAATTTTATGTTATGTATATTTTACTAGTTTTTTTTAAAATGGCTAACAATAGGCTGTGGTGGAATATGGAGGTGAGGGGATAGGAATATGTGTTCATGTCAGACATAATGGAGACTGCAGTTCAGTGATCCCAGAATGATAGTATTTGGTGTAAAAAGTTAAAGTGCAACATAAATTCTAAATATCACTATGACTTATTAGCAAAGAAGTTGAGAAAATGAGTTAATATTATCAATGAGCTTTGGACTGATCTCAGGAAAAGCATTTTGCAAAAAGGATAAACTAAAAATAAGGTGTTTTGCAACCAACTGTTCATTTATTTACAAAAAAAATCTATTATAAATTAGGGTCCATAGTTACAGGAGCAAAGAGACTTAATTCTGGGCCTGGGAGATGCAGTGAAGCTGCTTTTCTTCCTATCTCTTACTATAGGATGGCATAGAGAAGGAACAGACATGGTGTAAGCTGACTTTAAGAGAAATGTATTGCTCATTTGGGAGTGAACATGAAATAAGCAGCACAAAGAGCGCTTTTTCTATACCCATGACCTTCAAGTTTATTTCTGGGATTTTTGAAAACATTTAGTTATCAGTTTATATTTTCAATATACAACAGCTGAAAATTGGTGAAAGGCCCTAGCAAAATTTTGTTTTTATCTACCTGTGTATTGACCAATGCATGTTTTATATTAATAATAATCCATAAATTAGATAATTACAGTCCAATTACAAATGTTTAAAATGTGTCAAAGTCTCACATAAAGTGTAATCTATTAGTTTCATGTGTAATAATATTCTCATCTCATTTAGACTGCAAACTTTATCAAGTCACAGATGTGGTTAAGATAACAGTATGCTAGGATTTTCTGTGCTCTAGCTTAGCCACTAATTACCTATGTAACATTTAGTGAAGTAGTCTGTATTTGCCTGTTTCTTCATTTTTGAAGCAAGCACAATAATGCTATAGTGTACTAGCTCTTTCTAAATTAGAGAACATGAGGTAAAACAAGTGTCAAGATATAAGTAACATAATTAAACTGATTAGGAACTCAGGCTCTGGAGTCAGATAAACCTAGGGTCAAAGTTCAGGGCAAGACACTTGAACATCTTAGCCTCACTTTTCTCACTGTAAAATTGGGATAGTACATACCTCTTAGGGCTGAAAGATAGTATGTCTTTATGTTTAACAGCAAAGACTTTGGAACATGGGTTCACAGCCTGACTATCATTTATTGTGTTACCTTCATTAATTACATAACTTCTTTGTGGCTCAGTTTCTTCATTGGTAAAATAGATATGATAATAGTGCCCACCTCCTAGCGTTATTGTGAGATTTTAATGAATTCATACATATAAAACTGGTGAGTTAGTATTAATTAATTAGTACTAGTGAGTTGGTATTAACAAATTAATATATGTAAAATGCATGGAATGGTTCGTGGCTGTGCTATATAAAGCTTAGCTATTATCAGTAAAGGGGGGTAACAATGGTAAATGGAATTAAATATAATAATGCATGTGATTTGTGTAGCACAGTACTTGACACTCAGTATCAGATGCTATTATTATTTTTACCTTAATGAAATTTGAAAGGTTGAAAGGTGTTATATAAATTTAAGGTATTAGATTTTAATGTATTTATTATAATTTATGTTGAGAATATAGTAAGAATTTGAATGACAAAATTTTACAAAGTACATCAATAACAGTGCAGTTAAGTCCCTAAGAAGTAGCTATGCTAATTCACTGGCCTTTTATCAAATGGTGTTTAAAAATATTAAAAACAGAAACTGGATGAGAAATGTGAATCTTTATACCCTCTATGCTGATTAATGCAATTCTTACAGGATTGCTAATATTACTTCATTAGAACAGAATTATATTGGGTTAGGGGAGAATTAACTTAGTGTTACTAAGTTCAAATCCAGTGAAAAAACTGTTTTAAGGATTTTCCCCCTTTCCTCATAAAAGGTAACATACCTTTTTCACCACCCTACCAATACACTGCTTTATAAGAGAATCTCAGAAATTAATTTCTCACATTATTTAATTCTTCCCAATAGAATTGCTTTTCTAACTAGAAATCAGAGAGTTTTCTTCAGAAAATATAAAGAATCAAATGAATATTTTCCTCTGATTGTTCAAATAAAATATTACACAGTTATTCCAGTTGAATTAGTGGCTTGAGGATAAATGTACCACTCTGACAGCAAGGGCAACCTCTGGATAACACATTGTGTTAGTTAATGTCCTAAATATATATACTGTACTTTATTTTTATTGGATCCAATAGCCTATCCTACTTAAAAGCATATGACATGGAAAAGTCAGTTTTATATAGGACAAATTCCAAGACCTGTGTAGAAACAGCATATTAAAATAGGAAATATCTGGTCTGGAGGAAGTCAAGATGGTGAAGGAGTAGGAGGATATGAAGTTCATCTTTTCCCACAAATGCATCAAGAATATATCTATAAATGAAACAATTCTCACAGAGCACCATCTGAACACTAGAAGAGGACCTCGGACACCTAAAAGGACAAGAAAGATCCCCACATAACCGGATAGATGAAAGAAAGAAGAGGGGAAACCGAAGAGGATAGGAACAGGGATGGGACCTGCTCCCCTGGTGGGCGAACTGAAGGAGAGGAGAGGTTCCTGCATCCGAGGAAGCCCCCTTACCAGCGGGGAGATCAACTGGACAGAAGGGGAGCTTTGGAGGTTATCAGAGGAGAGTACAGCAATTGGTCTGTGGCAGGAAGGACAGAGTGAGACCTATACAGATGGTCTGTGCCACAGCCCTGTGTGCCCCACCTTGAGAAGTATGTCCACCGGTGCGCACGGGGATTGGATGCTGGAACGTGGGGTTTGGAGAGCAAACCTGGAGAGCACTGCTGTTGGCTGTGAGGAGACAGGCTGAGGGGACAGGAGTGAGGAAATCTACAACCAGGAATGCTTGTGGAGGAAACCCAGACCACCATAGAAGCGAAGTGCCACTGTTGAGTGACACACAAGGGGTAGGGCTACCATTGCAGTCTCTCTCCCAACACACTGGCCCCTGTCCCCTGGATAATAAGAAGGGCCACCACTGGGGCTGGCTCTCTCATGCCCAGGGCCAAGCAATAGGAAGGCCTCCACAAGAGCCAGCTCTCTCGCACCCATGGCTGCTGGCTACCCCATGCATGCTGTCCTCACTGGGCCTCCTGGCTGCCACTGCCTCTGAGTGCCCTCCCCGATGGAATGGACTTGTGTGTTCCAGGGCAGCCTCAGGAACAAACCCCTGTGGGTGGACCACACACAGAGGTGTGGCTTAAACCACAGCTGAGCCCCAGGAGCCATGCAACTAAGGAAAAAGGGCTGATATCTCTATTCACAGCTGCACAAACCACAAATTGACACCCCTGCAACAGGATTTGTAAACTCAGTGCCTACAGAACATCTGAACAGACAACAAGTGCTCCCTCAGCCAAGACGGGTCTGGCTTTAGCAGCTGTAGACTTTGTGGGCACATACACATAGGGGTTGGGCCAGACCAGAGTTTGAACTGTCCCCACAGCACCCAAAGTGGGTCCAGATCCATGATTACTGAAATCCTGGGACCTGAATTCAGTGAATCTATGCTGGTCACCTGGAGAAAACAATGTCTGAGAGACACCAGGACCAATTGCTGCATATGCACAGTTAAGGTGGGTCTGAGAGCAGTGCCAACAATAGTGTAATCTGAGAGCTCACACAGTGGGTGAAAGGTGACACAACAGAGCACACCCACAGGTGAACACCTCCAGAGGAGGACTACTCAGTGGCTTCCCTCCCAGTGGGAGTGCTCCAATCCTGCTTCTCTCACACTGCAGATCAGAAACACAGCTAATAAACAGATCTGGGGACCCCTACTCCAACAACAAGGGAGCAGACCCCACCTCTGACAGGACAGTGACAACCACAGAGCAAAGGGGAGGCCCTGCTAAATATCCAGTGTGGGTTCTGGTCATCACATCAGTCATACCTTCTATAAAGGGAATAATGGCCAACATACACTGAGGAAAGAAGTGGCAGACATCTATACTAAAAAAAAATTGCAGCAAAAATATTAAACCCACGCAGGCTACACATAGATGTTACCACATAAAATAGCCCTCCAAGACAGTCTGAGGGTCTGCCATAGGGAGGAAGAACGCCCAGAGCATTTAGCCTTGAAGGTCAGCAGGGCTTGAGTGAAGGAGCTCCACAGGGCTGGGGGAAACAGAGATTCCACTCTTGGAGGGTGCACACAAAGTCTCATGTGCACTGGGATCCAGCACAAAGCAGTACCTGGGCTACACCTATGTAGGGGTCTTGGAGGGTCTCCTGGGGAAGCAAAGGTTGACTATAGCTCACTGTGAGTGCACAGACACTGATAGCGGAAGCCCCAGGGAATACTGATCAGAGTGAGCTCTCCCACAGGTCCAAATTTTGGCACCAAGACCCAACCTCAGCCAACAAACTGCAGGCTCCAGTGCTGGAAAACCTCAGGCAAAACAACCACCAAGATAGGAACACAGGCCCAATCATCAGAAGACAAGCTATATAAAGTTGAACTAAGCTCACAGCAACCTCAAAACACACCATTTGACACGGCCCTACTCATCAGAGGGACAGACACAGCTCCACCCACCAGAGGCAGGCAACAGTCCTTCTTACCAGGAAGCCTGCACAAGCCCTTGGACCAATCTCACCCACCAGAGGGCAGACACCAGAAGCAAGAGGGACTATGATTCTGCAGCCCGTGGAAAGGAGACCACAGAAAGAGTAAGTTAGACAAAATGAGATGACAGATAAATATGTTACAGACAAAGGAACAAGATATAAGCCCACAAGAACAACTAAATGAAGAAGACATAGACAATCTTCCTGAAAAAAAAGGAAAGTATTGATAGTAAAGATGATCCAAGATCTCAGAAAAAAGAATAAAGGCACAGATCGAGAAGATACAAGAAATGTTTAACAAAGACCTAAAAGAACTAAAGAACAAAGAGAGATGAACAATACAATAAATGAAATGAAAAATACACTAGAAGGAATCAATAGCAGAATAACTGAGGCAGAAGAATGTATAAGTGAGCTGGAAGACAGAGTGGTGAAAATCACTGCCACATAACAGAATAAAGAGAAAGAATGAAAAGAAATGAGGACAGCCTCAGAGACATCTGGGACAATATTAAACACACCGGCATTCTAAGTACACGGGTCCCAGAAGGAGAAAAGAAAGAGAAAGTGCCTGAGAAAATATTTGAAGGTATTATAGACAAAAACTTTCCTAACATGAGAAAGAAAACACTCACTCAAGTCCAGGTAGCACAGAGAAATCCATATAGGATGAACCCAAGGGGAAACACACCAAGACACATATGAATCAAACTGACAAAAATTAAAGACAAAAAATATTAAAAGCAACAAGGGAAAAGCAACAAATAATATACAAGGTAATCCCCATAAGATTATCAGCTGAATTTTCATCAGAAACTCTGCAGGCCAGAGGGAGTGGCACAATATATTTCAAATGATGAAAGGGAAAAACCTACAATCAAGAATTCTCTAGCCAGCAAGGCTCTCATTTAGATTTGACAGAGAAATCAGAAGGTTTACAGACAAGCAAAAGCTAAGAGAATTCAGCACCACCAAACCAGCTTTAAAAAAAATACTAAAGGAACTTCTCTAGGTGGGAAAGAGAACAGCAACTTAAAACAAACTTGTACATATATAGACTACTATATCAAAACCGCATGGGAACAGTAAACCCAAAAACTACAATAGATACACACACAAAAAAGAAAAAGAATCCAAAACACAACATTAAAGATGGTCCTCAAATCACAAGAGAACAAAAGAGGAAGGGAAGAAAAAAGACCTACAGAAACAAATCCAAAACAATTAAGAAAACATCAATAGGAACATACATATAGATAACCACCTTAAGTGTAAATGGATTAAATGTTCCATCCAAAAGACATAGACTGGCAGAATGGATACAAAAACAAAACCTGTATATATGCTGTCTACAAGAGACCCACTACAGACCTAGGGACACAGAGTCTGAAAGTGAGGGATGGAAAAAGATATTCCCTGCAAATGGAAATCAAAAGAAAGCTGGAGTAGCAATACACGTTTCAGGCAAAATAGACTTTAAAATAAAGACTGTTACAAGAGACAAGGAAGGACTCTACATAATAATCAAAGGATCAATCGAAGAAGAAGACACAATTGTAAATATATATGCACCCAACATAGGAGTACCTCAATATATAAGGCAAGTGCAAAAACTATAAAAGGGGAAATCGACAGTAACACAAAAATAGTGGGGGACTTTAAAGCCCACTTACACCAATGGACAGATTGTCCAGACAGAAAATTAATAAGGAAACACAAGCCTTAAATGAAACATTAGACTAGTTAGAATTAATTGATATCTATAGGACATTCCATCTGAAAGCAGAAGAATAAACTTTTGTCTCAAGTGCACACAGAACATTCTCCAGAATAGATCACATCTTGGGTCACAAATCAAGCCTCAGTAAATTTAAGAAAATTGAAATCATACCAAGCATCTTTTCTGACCACAACACTATGAGATTAGAAATCAATTACAAGAAAAAAACTGTAAAACAACAAAAACACACGGAGGCTAAACAATGTGTTACTAAACAACCAATGGATCACTGAAGAAATCAAAGGGGAAATCAAAAAATACCTGGAAATGTATAACAATGAAAACACGACAATCCAAAACCTGTTGGACACAGCAAAAGCAATTCTAAGAGAATTTTAAGCAATACAATCTTACCTCAGGAAACAAGAAAAATCTCAAACAACCTAACTTTACACCTAAAGCAACTAGAGAAATAAGAACAAACAAAACCTAAAATATTTGCAAACAAAGTGACTGACAAAGGATAGATCTTCCCAATATACAACAGCTCATGCAGCTCAATATCAAAAAAACCCAAATAACCCAATCAAAAAATGGATGGAAAATCTAGACATTTCTCCAAAGAATGCATACAGATGGCCAAGAGACACATGAAAAGATGCTCAATATCACTAATTATCAGAGAAATGCAAATCAAAACTGCAATGAGGTATCACCACATACTGGTCAGAATGGCCATCATCAAAGAATCTGCAAACAATAAATTCTGGAGAGGGTGTGGAGAAAAGGGAACTCTTCTACACTGCTGGTGGAAATGTAACTTGGTACAGCCACTATGGAAAACAGCAGGGAGGTTCCTTAAAAAATTAAAAATAGAGTTACCATATGATCCAGCAATCCCAGTCCTGGGTATATATCTGGAGAAAAACATAGTTTGAAAGGATACATGCACCCCAATGTTCATTGTAGCACTATTTACAATAGCTAGGACATGGAAGCAACCTAAATGTCTGTCAATGGAGGAATGGATAAAGAAGATACGGTATATATATACAATGGAATATTACTCAGCCATAAAAAAGAATGAAATAATGCCATTTGCAGTGACATGGATGGACCTAGAGATTATTATACTGAGTGAAGTAAGACAGAGAAAGACAAATATCATATAATATTTCTTATATGTGGAATCTGAAAAATAGGGTACAAATGAACCTATTTATAAAACAGAAATAGAGTCACAGATATAGAAAACACACTTATGGTTACCAAGGGTGAAAGGGGTTAGGGATCAATTGGAAGATTGGGATTGACATATACACACTACTATATATATATATATAATAACTAATAAGAACCTAGTGTATAGCACAGAGAACTCTACTCAATACTCTGTAATGACCTACATGGGAACAGAATCTAAAAAAAGAGTGGGTATATGTATATGTATAATCGATTCACTTTGCTGTACAGCAGAAACTAACACAACATTGTAAATCAACTATACTCCAATAAAAATTAATTTAAAAATAAAATAGGAAATATTGATCATACATTAAACATATATTATTTAAAATACACTGTTTTTAAAAAGTTATTGGAATTTATTGAGGTATAGAATTTCTTGTTATAATTTCAGAGGGAAGCATTCTAAAAAAATATTTGGGGGCAAATTCTTAGTTTTCATTTCATACTTTGAGTTGTAACTAAAAGGCTCGGTGGAAAATGACTAATATAAAGAAAAATATATGAGATGATAATAGTTCCTTTATCATAATAAGCATATCTTAATAAAATGGCTTAGGAAATGGAGAATTATAATGATTTAGTGTGATAAATTAAATATGATGAACAAGGTAAATGACAATTATTTATTGAAAATTATGAAGTTTTATAATAACTTTGAGAGAAGCAAGATAAGTTGAACGTTTATATAGTTGACTTGGATTCTGTTTTCCACAGTAACTAATAATGGGAAAATGTCTATGAGCAATCTCTATCCACTCATTATAGAATCATGTAAACTAAATTCAACATGCTGTTTCCTAGGTCAGAAAAATCATTTTTGCTAATGATTCTTTAATTTTCCTTCTTTTAAGATAATATGGTAAAGTAGATAACTAAAGACAGATGATTTGCCTAATTTTCAAAAGTGAATGGAAATCTGTGATTAAGATGCCTTTTCTCTGAATTTCTGATGAAATGATTTCAGGTCCAAATGTGTTAAAGCTACTGCCATTTTGGAAGTATCATCAAGTTATATTAAACTTAAAAACAAGCTGGTTTCAAAAGCCATCCACATTTAAGCTTACCCTGAGGACGATTATCTTTTCTGCGAGCACCAAGCCATTGTGCTTCATTTTCTGAGTCAAGGTGGTGTCTTTCCTTGTCAGATAAAATCTTGTGCTCTTTTTCCCTGTCAGACTTTATGAGATATTTTCCCCTGTCTTCATCCATTTGAAGTCTCTCATTTTCAGATTGTATCACACACTGTTCCCTCTCCATCTCCATCACGTGTCTTTCACTTTCAAATTTATTTTGATATCTTTCATTTTCAGAATTTGTTCGATGTTTTTCAGAATCAGAGTCTATTTGATGTCTTTCAAACTTATCCGAGTCTTTTTGAAGGTCATCTCGACATCTTTCAGAGCTACCCTGAAGTCTTGAAGACCTGCGTTGATATCTTCTAGAGCTGTCCCAGCATCTACCACAGTCAAAGTCCAACTGTGGTCTTTCAGAGTCAGTCCAGCATCTTTCAGATTCAGACCTGAGGCCCATCCAGAATCTTTCCAAGTCAGAGGCCTTTTGGCAATTTTCAGCCTTCATCATGTGTTTCACAGAATCAGAGGCCATACCAAGGCTTTCAGAATCCAAGTCCATTTCAGACCAAGAATCTATCCAGGGCCTCTCAGTGCCAGTGCTCAACTGGAACGTTTTAGCGTCCATGAGACATGTCACAGAAGCTGAGGCTAGCCCATATCTTTTTAAGTCTGAGTCCATCCTACATGGTTCAGAGTCAGAGTCCATCATATATCTCGCAGATCTAGTCTTCTCCTGATGTTTTCGTTCCCCCATCTGATGTACCTCAGATGCAGAAGCTGAGTTCATTCCATCTCTTTCCATGTGTGAGTCCACCACATACCTCTCAGAAGCAGGGAGTATCCAGTGTTGTTCGGTCTCCATTAATCTTTTTTCAGATTCCATCAGGCGTTTTATAGAATCTGAGGCCATTTGGCATTTTTCTGCCTTCAGCAGGTATTTCACAGATGCAGAAACCATGGGATATTTTTCTGAATCTGAGTCTATCCCAGGTCTTTCATTGTCAGAGTCCATCACATATTTTTCAGAGTCAGAGTCTGCCAAGCATTTTTCTGAATCTGAGTCCATCCAGTGTTTCAGAGAGTCAAAGTCCAGCTGGCATTGTTCAACTCCAATTAGGTGTTGCTCTGACTCCATCAGGTCTTCCACAGAGCCTGAAGCCATCTGGTATTTTTCTGCTTCTAGCAGGTATTTCACAGAGTCTGGATCCATGGGACATTTTTCTGAGTCTGAGTCCATTCCCCATATTACTGAGTCAGAGTCTTTCAAGTGCTGTTCTAAGTCAGACTCCAAACCAATGCCTCTGTCAGAGTCAGAATCAATCACACACCTTTCAGAGCCAGAATCCAGCAGAGGTGCATCACTTTCAATTATTGTTAGGTTTTGGAGACTTTTATAGTCAAAAGAACTGGCTGAATTTTCAGAAACCTTTGCATCAGAAACTTCTGTTTCTGATTTGTTTCCTTCATCAAGTGGCATCATTACTGCTCCTTCATTACTTAAAAAAAGACAAACATGAATACTTAAAAAAATATTCATTACATGTCAGCAAATATATTATTTCACTGTTGAAAAGTCTTCTGTAGGAAAATGTTATAAAGTACACATTTATATCTATCAGGCTTTAGAAATCATGAGACATTATTACACTTCTTGTGATCAAATTGGAAGGAAATCAGTGTAGGTAGATTTTACACTCACTTGCATTTACCCTCACATTAACTGTTTTTCTAATGCACCTGAAAGTAATTGCCTGACTAGGCTACTTCTCTGCAATGTACTATTTTCTTGTCCTTATCCAATCAATGCACCATTATTTTGGAAATTGCATATTATGTTAAAAATGTAGTGGAAAATAGAAATAAACTATTTCTATATTCTACTCCAATTTAAGATTATATATGTGTAGACCTGTTTATCAGTGAGGCTTACCTTGGATTGTTGAGCGTTTCTATAGAAAAATATCCAAATCTGTCAGGTACTGTTTCATTTGGAAGGGACACATCTTGAAGGGGAAATATAGGTTCACCAGATGAACTAGGTGTAATTATTGGCTGCAAAGCAAAATAAATCATAAACAAAGTTATAATTTCTCAGTTACATTTAACTTGAAACACAGTACATCTAAGCATTTTGATTGTGGGTAGGCTGTTACTTCATTATCTGTACCTGTGTTTAAGGGAAAGTTATAAGGAGAACCGCTTTCAAAATAAAACTTCAAAATTAATATTTAAGTATAAGGGGGGATATGATAGACACATTGTGAGGTGTCTTCCTAACCTCTATTTTCCCATGAACTAATGGACATCCCCAAATGCTGCATTGGTGCTATGTTGCCTTGGTAGTAACTAACTGGCATTTGACCCAAATTGAGACAATAAAATTCTTTTTCCTGTGGAGTTAGAGTCAGAATTCAAAATAACTTTTTTTTTTTTTCCTGATGGTTGTTTGAAATGAGGACAGGCAATCACTGGCAGTATGAAAAAGCAATGTCTGTCATATGTCTAGAGAAGTAGAAAAAAGCCAATGTGCAGAGAGTGTAAATAATAAAATATTCATACATTAAGGAAGTAGAAACAAGGGATCATATGCCTCTAGAGAAACAGACGGACGTATTTTCTACCTGGGTTCCTGATTCCAGTTCCTACTAAATATTAACTCTACTTTCTGCCCTTGAGTTCTCTAAGGTAACCATGATCCTTGATTTAATGTATTTACCATGCTTCCTTTTTTCATTCAAGCTAGTATGAGTGGAGTTCTGTTCCTTTCAGTCAAAAGGTCCTTCATAAGGCACTAAAACTGCTGTTAATATTTTATTGTTAACCTCAAAGTGGAACATACATAACAAGTGAGTCTTTTAGGTGAAGAAGTAGTCCAAGAATAGGAAAAAAGAGAGTTGAAGAATTACCAACATGAATTTTATTTATGTAAAGAGATATATTCCATCTTCAATGAAACCTGAGCAAAAAATAATAGACTTATACTATAACATGTTATTTAGTTACAACATAAGAAAAAAAAACTCCACAAGTTTTAACATACTCTAGAATTGATTATAATAAAAGTTTGAAATCTTCTGTCTCAGCAAATAATTGTGAGGCTCAAATGAGACAGTGCCTAAGAGAAAACACTAACTGTGAAAAATGGTAATGACTTACATAATGTAAATTATTAACAGACAATAAAAAGAAGGGTAATGTTGATTTATAAGGCAAACATACATGAGAAATATTGAAACTTCCACATCCTAGGGGAGGTGTACAACAAATAATTTTCATGGGCTTCTAAACATTGATCTAAAAGTGCAAATACTCAGAAATTCTTTGACTCCTATTCTCAAATCATAGTAATAGATTTTCTATTATGATTACTCTGTCACTAGTTTTCATTATTTTGAAAGTCAAGACAAAAAGTAAAGGGTGACACTACTAGGTATATACCCTGAGGAAACCAGAATTCAGAAAGAGTCATGTACCAAAATGTTCATTGCAGCTCTATTTACAATAGCCCAGAGATGGAAACAACCTAAGTGCCCATCGTCGGATGAATGGATAAAGAAGATGTGGAACATATATACAATGGAATATTACTCAGCCATAAAAAGAAACGAAATTGAGCTATTTGTAATGAGGTGGATAGATCTAGAGTCTGTCATACAGAGTGAAGTAAGTCAGAAAGAGAAGGACAAATACCGTATGCTAACACATATATATGGAATTTAAGAAAAAAAAATGTTATGAAGAACCTAGGGGTAAAACAGGAATAAAGACACAGACCTACTGGAGAACAGACTTGAGGATATGGGGAGGGGGAAGGGTGAGGTGTGATAGGGCGAGAGAGAGACATGGACATATATATACTAACAAACGTAAGGTAGATAGCCAGTGGGAAGCAGCCGCATGGCACAGGGAAACTGGCTCGGTTCTTTGTGCCTGTCTGGAGAGGTGGGATAGGGAGGGTGGGAGGGAGGGAGACAAAGAGGGAAGAGATATGGGAACATATGTATATGTATAGCTGATTCACTCTGTTATAAAGCAGAAACTAACACACCATTGTAAAGCAATTATACCCCAATAAAGATGTTAAAAAAAAAAAATCAAAATGGTAAAAAAAAAAAAAAAAGTAAAGGGTGAGGGAAAGTTCAGCAAATTTTATTTAGCTAGACAATATCTAAATTTTTTTTTTGTTTGCAGTACACGGGCCTCTCACTGTTGTGGCCTCTCCCGTTGCAGAGCACAGGCTCCGGATGTGCAGGCTCAGTGGCCATGGCTCACGGGCCCAGCCGCTCCGCGGCATGTGGGATCTTCCCAGACCGGGGCACGAACCCATGTCCCCTGCATCGGCAGGCAGACTCTCAACCACTGCACCACAAGGGAAGCCCAACACTATCTAAATTTAAACAAATAATATCTGCCTTTTTAGATTGGTAACTAATATCCTTTCATGCATTTGATTTAACAGGATGCCTGGCCTCCTGAGAAACTATACACATAAAGTTTCTACTCTTTCCAAAAGAATATTCTACTATATTAAGAAAAAAATCTAACAGAAAATACAGTAAATATGGAATTCACATTGCTTATTTAGGATTGGCATACTGCCTGAAGCTTTGGGGACTTTGACCATATCAAAGCTTTATGTCTGCCTGAGCAGGAATACTTTCAAAGATGCTATAGAGTACAAGAAGTTTTAAGTGTTCTTATCAGTAACATCACTTTCCAGAGGTAACACTTTTGAAATAAATACATTTTGTCTAGTTATTAAACTTGAATTAACATCAAAAGAGGGAAAATGATATTTACAAATTCATTAATTAGAACTCTGTGAAAGCTAATCTCTCTTAATCTCTAAGAATATGCTTTCCTGAGAACGTAATTCTGTACAGCACTGAGAATTTCTTATTTAGATAAAAAAAATGCTGTGAAAACCAAATTCAAACAGATTGTTAAATAAATATTTCCACAGCAAATGAATTACAAAATGAATCTGTAAAAAATTGCTCCCTCTTTCTAGATAGTTGCTCATTTTTCTAAAGACTTGATTTACAGTTTTACACTATACACTCAAATGATTTGCAATTAAGCTTGTAAAGCTCTGTCCAAAGGTTTATCCTTATCTCTCCTTTATTTATACCTGCTATTTTTACTGCATCTTATATAGAACTAGATTGTCATTTAATTCCATAATCTTAA